ATTAATTAAAATTGATAAAAATATAAAATATATTTTAAAATTAATTAATAATAATAAATTTATATTTCTAAGGTAAAATACTATATGAAAAAAACTTATAAAAAGCATTCCAATCAAAAGCTAAAGTCTATTTACTACTTCTTGGATACTAATTTTAAGTTAAAAATTCAAATTTCAGTTAGCTGTTTTCTTACCTTACTTTGTAAATTAAAAAATATATATAATAAAATATTATATTATAAAATTATAATATTGCTTCACATTGTAATGATATCAATTTTATTTTTTTTATTAATCTAAGAATTTTAAGATGTAGACCGACATTTTTTAACGTACACAAACTTTATCAAAATCTGGGCTACTAAGCCCATCCCAAGGATAGCCCATCCCTCAACTAATTAATGTGTCGAATTTTTTCTATTGCACCACACCTCGTGGGTAACTCAACCTTGCTGGCGCCTTAATTTACACAATTAAAATTTTGATGGCGGCCAAGATTATATTAAAGGTTTTAAAGTCGAACTGCTATAATAACCAAGCATAATAATTAACACCTCAAAAATAAGATAAAAAAAAGTAACATGTTATATTTTCATTTGATGGCAGAGAAAATTGCAGATGAAAGCAATGGAGATGTGGCAGATGAGTTCTATTATTTATTGAAGGTTCTGTGAATAATTCTTTAATTAGTCTTCTCTTTTTATTCATTGTTAAAATTAACTACGGCATGCTGAAGAATTAATTGAACAGGATGACATTGCTCGTGTGAAAGAAGTTGGTTTGGATTCATTCAGATTCTCCATCTCTTGGCCTAGAATTTTACCTTGTAAGATTGCATCTCAAAACCAACAATTTTACGAAAATATTTTGGTGAAATCAACAGCTTTAGGATAGTTTCGTTATGACAAAATAAATTTTTAGAAAAGTATACTTTTTATTTTTTGATATTTGGCATATAGAAGAGAATATGATAATGAAAAAATATTTTTGTTCAACAAAAAGTAAATAAAAGAAAAGCTTGGACTCCAAGTTACTCTAAAGCTGCTACAGATCTTGTGTAACTCTTTGAGCTACCCCAACTGTTGTTCACATATGCCAGCCACCCCTAATTAACATTGGTTCATGCTATGAGTAACCCCGGCCCTTGGGTCATGCCAAGGGACTTGATTTGAGCCACCCTCGTCTCCAGTCATGCCATAAGCCACCCTTGAGCTGCTTCTATTCTAAACCACTCCTCCAGCTGCCATGGGGTGAGGGTCGCTCACCAAGTCGCTCTAGAGTCCATAGGCAGAGCCAGAGGGGCCGTGAGGGCGGACAAGCGCCCCTAAGCTTTTTTTGAAAGATTAATTTGGTCTACTAAGTTATTATTATTATTATTATTATTAATTTCATCCTTAATTATTTAATACCATTTTAGTTATTATTTAGCATATTTATTATTTAATTACATTCGGTGATGATGAGGGTGGTGAAGAAACATAAAGATTAATTGAGTGAATACTAATCAATATCATTCTTTCACAAAATGTTTGTTTACTAATAATTTTTTTTCTTTTTTCTTTTTTCTTTTTTCTTTTTTCTGTTCATTAGTATTCTTCTACTAAATACAATTTATGTTCATTTTGTCCTTCAATTGATGACATTTATACTACATTAGCAAGAACGATTAGTTTGTCCTTCAATATCATCATTTTTATTTTTTTTTCTTTTATTAACTTTTAATTGACATAGGAATGCATCATTTTTCGTCAAGATTTCATTTTAACCGTCAAAAATCTTTCTCACCATTGCTTGAGTGATGGAGTTTAGGACAACATTGAGACAAGCCGTGGGGTCTAGGTGGCTTATAGCGTGACACAAGCTTTGTGATATCTGGAGCATAATCTGACGTATGTGGCTGCTCAAGGCTTGACCAAGGTTCGGGCAACTCAAGTCATGACTTAAGGTTGGAGGTGTCTTGAGCCTTAACTTGGGCTCCAAGGCAACTTAGGCTGACTGGAGGTTCGAGGGCTCGAGGTGTGACTCAAGGATTGGGCCAATTTATAACTTTGGTTGATTAGGGATCCAAAATAGTTTTAGTTGTGATTTGAAGAAGTATGAACCAGCTTTAAACATCACCCAAGTCTTAGGTAACTATTAATGTGGTCGCTCTAGGGTGGCTCAAAGAGTTACTCAGACTCTAAGGTGGTGGCAAAAACTTATTTTTAGTTTTTTACCTTGTTAGATTTATAGATTTTAGCTCCTCATCTTATATTATAACACTTTTAGCCATTCACCTATTAGAATTAAAGAAAATAGCCCTCGGTTTATAATATTCCGTAGTTCTATTAATTGATTGTTAACTTTGTTAGTTAACTGTTAATTTTGTTAGTTAACTGTTAATTTTATTAGCTAAAAGTAGGTTTTTACCAACTAACAGTCAACTAATAGACTTAATAGTCAGTTAATAGAATAGTTCTGTTAACTCTATTGAAAGTAGGTTTTTACCAATTAATAGTCAACTAATAGAGTTAACAATCAGCTAATAAAACTAATAAAATATTATAAGTGAGGGTTATTTTCTTTAATTCTAATAGGCAAGGGACTAAAAATGTCATAGTATAATGTAATGAGCTAAAATCTACAAATCTAATAAGATAAAGAGCTCAAATTAGACTTTTGCCCTAAGGTGGCTTGTGTGATCCATGATTTGAAGCAGCTTTAAGACATAACCCAAAAGTGAACCAAACATTGACAAATATTTAGCATATAAAATTTTCAAAATATGTCAATCAACATAATAATTTTTTAAAATTTTTAAAAATTACTTTCCACAAACCATACCTACACTTAATGTTGTTTCTTTAATTTATTGGTGTGAACTTGAAGCTAACTTGTCATCTTTTTGGAACTTAAATAGCGGGTAAAATCAGCGGCGGGATTAATCAAAAAGGAATCAATTTCTACAATCGTCTTATTGATTTACTCCTATCAAACGGTTAAACTTTATTCTCTTTTTCAATTTTATATATATCTCAATCACCAAATTTACTAGTTAACTTCCGATTATTTTTTTAATTTTTTGAACTATTCCAATTCTCAAACAGGAATACAACCCTTTGTTACTTTGTTCCATTGGGATCTTCCAGAAGCACTCGAGGATGTGTATGGGGGATTCCTCAACCCAAAAATTGTGTAAGTTAATATGACACTAGCCCTTTTTTTTTTCTTTTTTTTCTTTTTTTTTAATTTATTAAGCAACTCTTTGCTATTCTGTCATTCACTCATCAAAATATTGTATGATTGGTGTAAAAACTTTTTACTTTTATTGAAAAGATATTAACACTATAAGTCATTTAAGTCATTAATGGTAAATATTACACTAGCAAATTATAAATTAATTTAGGTGTCTGTATTATTAATTAATTGAACTTACAAATTAATCATTGATAATTTCAAAAAAAAAAAAAATTTATTAGGGACGACTTTCGGGATTATGCCAACCTCTGCTTCCAAGAATTTGGCGATAGAGTGAAACAATGGGCGACCCTAAATGAGCCAAATTTATTTACCAAGGGAGGTTATGCAGAGGGCGGAGGTGCACCGGGTAGATGTTCTATCTATATAGGTAATTGCTCTGAGGGAAATTCAGCAACTGAGCCTTATATAGTGATGCATCACCTCATTCTTTCTCATGCAACCGCTGTACAATTGTATAAAGAAAAATATCAGGTTAGTAGGTACCTTTCTACTAGTAATTCTTCCAAATATAGACATACTAATTTCAATTTCATTTTACTCAGACCTTGCAAAATGGAACAATTGGGGTTATAGTGAATTGTAATTGGTATGTGCCAAAATATGATACAATTGCAAGTAAGAGAGCTGCCCAAAGGGCTCGTGATTTTGACTGGGGATGGTACGTAAAGAAACATTTGCATAATATTTCTATGGCAACATTATTTTTCTAATAATAATTGTTGGACCCAATTATTGACTTAGCGTCAAACAAAAATAACAAATCTAAAACACATTTAGGTTTAATTAACCTTGGAATCTATGAGAAAATGAAGGGAGAAATCTTTGACAAGAAGTAAAATTTTTATAGAATGCAAGTTGTTCTGAACATTGGCCTTACAGACTTAAAAAATAGTAAGGAAATTAAAGAAAATAAAATAAAATAATGCCAGCCCAATGCATAAAATATACCCTAACCCAAATTGTCCAAACAATCTTTTTTTTTTCTTTTCTTTTTTTTTTTTTTT